GTAGCTTACGGTCAAATCACGCTGAAACACCGGTTCTCGTTCGATCACCGAAGTTAAGCATCGTAGAGCCAGGTCAGTACTTAGATGGGGACCGCTTGGGAACACCTGGTACTGTAAGCCCCCAAAGTCCAACCCTTACCTCACAGTCGGTGGGGGGGTGTAAACGGTAGTGTCAGAGCTATGCCGTCCGAACTTCGTTCCTGGTAGGGCCACCCAAGGCGGACAGGTCTGACACACACGCCGGCTAACAAGGGCTCTGGTGAAAATCCAAGGAGCGTCTGCATCGGTAACCGGCGGCTTCTGGTCGTTCCTGTCTCTGCGTCTGTGGGAACCCCGCGGCAAGCAAGAACGTTATCCGAGTAGGCCTGGGTACCCTACTTCTGTAATTTATCCCAAGAATCTTCTTCTCATAACAGGAAGAAGCCGGCTCAATCCGCCCAGGGTGAATGCCGCATCAGTACAGTACGTTTGTTTAAATGGCATGTAAACATGACTTTGTTAGGGAATTTGTTGAAGTGCTTGTCTGCACGTGTTTTGATGGCTTCAATTATTATAGAATTAGAAATATATTTAAGGTGGCGTTTTTATTCTTCATTTTTTACTTATTATGTCATGTTTTTTAACAGATATATATTAATTTGATGACCCTGCCACATCTCCGAGAAGGCCTTTTTTTTTTTTGCATGACTTATTAGCTTCTGAACCTGTTAAAATGAATGTAAAGCCCAAAAGAATAATGATTCGAGAAACTATGACGCCCGTAGCAATCTTATATTATTATTGGTCGTTCCAATAACTTGGACCGATTTTAAATGTGAATTAAGTTTAATCGTCTAATGATTCTTTTTCTTTTTCTTTCAGATTTACCAACATAAGTCTTTGGTAATTTCAACGATGGAAAGATTAACAATCAAATTCAAAAATACGCTTTTAAATAGACACCCATGGGTCGTCAGTGATGTTTTGACTTGATTCATCAGGGATTTTCTTTCATCTTTCAACATCATTCCCCCATCACCAAATCGACCTAATCAGGGTAGATCAATCTCTGATTCTCCTCTCAATCAAACGCTAACAGCTACTCTGGCCTTTTTAAAGATTTAGACGAAGACAGATTTCATATTCCGCACATCCGATTGGGTGTTTGTTATCAACCAATCCGCTGCGCGAAATATCTTTTAAATGGCTCGCGGTGGGGACAAAAGGCTTTTTCTTATTTAAATAATTGCAGTTTTTATGGATAACCGAGGAGGTAATCTTAATGTTCCTAAGTTTAACCCTTTTCTTAATTATTGTATAGTTTAAATATTTGCCGTTTTTATTTTATTTGTACTTTTTTTCTTTTAGGCGGGGAAACTTAAACTCAACCCTATTATCACATTTTATCGTTTAGCCTTTTCCTTATATTCATGTGTTAAAGTTATCGATGCGTATTACGAAAATGGACGTTCAAAAAAAATGCATTTTGCGCACTTCGCGATTTTTTTTCACAACATAATCGACTAACCGATAGTGCAATTATATAACAAGTCCGTTGCATTATTTTGCATGTCTCATTCCAGAGCAAGGTCATGAAATCTAGTGAAGGGATCTCACTTCTTGGTAAGTTGACATCCACCTTAAACATATTCACGCCATCGACATATTTTTTACTTTGATTTTCTTCCCACTTCCACCAACACTTGTAAAGCCAAACGACGACTGGAATGGATGACAGGAGCAGGTTTTGGTGAAACTGGAAATATTCTATCATATAACACGTTGGTGGCGAATTTGATCATCAACTGTTACATGGAGGAAGCGATCAGTAACGAAAATAAATTCTTTTTATACGAGATAAAGTTTTTTTTTTGTTATATAATTATTGTAGATTTCTATTATTTTTACGATGATAGAGTAGCCAAAATTGAATGATCAAAACAGAGAATCGAGTGAAAAAAAAAGAAAGAATTTTAAAAAGAAATTATTATGACAGGAAGGAAAATTTAAATTAAACTTAAATGACGATATAAGACAATAAATAAACACAGAAAACTTGATTCAAATGGACATTGGTTGACTGGCTCACGGGCGAATGAGGGACTGCAGTTCAGAAGGAATATAATGATAAATATCGGGCAGAAAAAATCAGCCACAAACGAGGCGGCGTTTAAATTTTATAATTTTTTTGGATTTCGATTCATTTTTTAATTCTAAGGACAGCTTTCTGAAAGCTGCGAAAAACAACGTCACTTCGGACTCAGCAAACGAACAACAGCAAAAAAATAAAATTCAAAGTCCTATATCTCATTAAATAGATTCTTAAAATGAAATAATAAAATTTTTAAACACACACACACAAACACACACACACACACACACACAAACACACACACATATATATATATATATATATATATATATATATATATATATATATTATATATTTAAGAAGAAAGAACATTGAAGTCAGGCCTGACGGTTTCGTCTAGCATGAAACAGCCTCTCGCCTCTCTCTCTTGTTTTTCCAAAATTTTATCTAAAAATTGAGCCGGCTCCAATATTGACTTTCATGGGAATTTGGAATACAAAACATCTTGTTTTTCAAATTTTATAAGACATGTAATTTGAAAATAAAAAAGAAAATTTTTTCAGGACCATCCACATTTTTGAAGGGCTGATTACATTGATCTGATTCTCTATTTTTCAATATATTCCCAAACGACACTCCTTTGTTTTTGAATTCATTCACTGATCCTTCTCTCTTTTTTTAGTTGCCATCCTCTATTTAAAAACCTAATTACCCTCTTTCTGGAGAGATCTCTCTTATAACACCTTTCCCAAAGGGTATTTAAATTTTCTTCTTTTTCGAATTCAATCAAGCTCTATTTTTTTTAAATTTCCTCTCTCCTCTCTGTGTTTACTTCAAAATGTTCATAATTTTATATATATATATATATATATATATATTTTATATATATATTATTTTTCCAAGAGAAATATATTTTTTTAAATCTTGCTATATTTATGGGATAAAGTACTCAATATCAGAGATAGAATCTATGTCTCTTGTAAAATTTGAACATTCCTCTGGAAGCTTGTTTTTCCTAGCACAGAAACAGCCTGTCGCATCTCTTTTTGTTATATATAAAAAAGTTCAACAAGAAAGTCAATTTTCAGATTCCTAACTGGCAAAAACTTGTGAAAATTAATTCAAAACCTGCGGAGGGTCGTTTGGGGACCCTGTGGCACGTAGTGCTCTCATCTCTCTGTATTCCCCCCTTCAAAAGTGTTGATGGTCCTGCAAGAAACCTTCACCACTATAATCAAATCTCATGTGCTGTTGTCGAGCTGTCGGCTTTTCTTTCAACTAGTCTGCTTGACCCTCACACGTCGAATTTTCGACTTTGGTCGACCATTATTGATTGTTTCAACTTTAAAGCATTTCCTTATTTGTTTCTCTTTTCATTGTTTCCAGGAAATAGTTGCATTAAAATTGCTCAATTTTATATCTATTTAAAATAAAAATACAGATTTAACATGCAGTACTTTTAAATTTCAAAAATTATAATGGTTATCAGTATTTCCCCATAACTTGAATTCAAAATTTCAAATCATCATATGATATTTGATTAAATCATTTTCAGACATGGCTTTTATATCATTTAAATATGAATTTAAAACAGGAATTTAATGGATCTGGGGAAAGAAATAAAGAAGAACATTCATGCAAAAACATTGGAAGAGGAGACAGAATGATATATATTTTTCATCCATTAAAAGCATTTCTTTTGAACGTACAAAATTCAGTGTTTCTAAAATATTTTTATTTTGTTATCTTTCATTTATTAGATGACATTGTTTCTGATATCTTTATCATTGTTAATTTTTCCTTCATGACTATATTTTGTCATTTTATCAAGACGATTGGCTTTAAAAATAGTTCTTCTTAATATTTTCCAAAATATAAATTGAGAACTTTGTTATAAAAAAATTCCCCATTTTCTTTCCAAATAAATAAAAAATAAATTATTAAAAAAAAAATGAATGATGACTTGTCTGGAATTGGAATCTCTTAGTTGAACAGTTATTGCTAACTATATATGTATGGATATTATGAGACTTTTTCAGAAAGACATTTATTACTTTCAAAAACCTAAATAATAAATTCTAAAAGGCAACATTCAAAGTCAATTTTCTACTTCCATGCAATTTTGATGAAGAATTCCAACCATTTCCTGAAGCAGTCCTTACTGAAATCATTCAAAAAATTCTCGAGGACCATTGTCATCGCCTTTCATCATTCCAATGTCTTCAAAAATTCGATTGCCACAGAACTTTATCTTCATTAAAAAAAAACGCAAAATAATTTAATGAGCTACAAGGTGGGAACCAGCTTGATGCCAATCTCAATTGAGATAGAAGTATATCTGTAAAAGGACAATATGAACAAATATTTCCATATGAAAAAATATCTTAAACGATGCGTTTTTTAAATTTTTTAACATTTTATTAAGGCAAATGCATTTTTTAAATAATGCAATTTTTTAAATATATTGTTATATTTTATTTTCCATATACACGTGTTTTTTTTCAATATCTTCATCAGGCAAATTTGGATATTTCCACATGCATTGTTAAAAAAAATAATTTTTATTTGTTTTCAGATGTTCATAAATAATTGTCTTTTGTGTGTAGTAGTTCATTCAAGTTTTAACAAGTGGACAAAAATTTGTTAGCAAAAATAAAATCTAAACTATCAAATTTATATAACGAGTCAAAATAAATGCTTTAAAAAATTTGAAAAATCACCTGCATGATTTGTCAGACAGAATATATTGTCCCCTTAAAAATTTTAATAAAAATTTAAATGAACAGAAAAAATATATTTAAAACAAACAAAAAAAAAAAAAATGTAAATTGGAAACAGACGACATTTTTACATATGAATGTTGATGTATTCCTGCTTAAAAAAACAAAAAATATACTGGATGGCAAAAAAAAATCATGTTAATTGTCCAATGTTTGAAACCCAAGCTCTCTCTTTACATTTGTATAGTTAGAACAAATTTCAACAAACGATATCCATGAAATACCTACGGATGATAAATGTCATCAATAAATTTTTCTAAAACAGAAAAATGATATATTTGAAATAAATATATATATATATATATATATATATATATATAATTCATATATATATAAATACTAAACAATTTAAATTTCGAATATAAATTTTTCCGTTCGGAACAATTTTTTTTAAATTTAAATATCAATCCAACTTGAAAACATGGAATAATAGATTTTTATTAGTTTTATTTACATTCAAACATCTAAAAAAATAAACATTAACCTAAAAACAATCATGTCTTATTCAAATTGTCAATCAAGACTTTCATATGGGCATTGTATTAAACATGTTCAGATTTTAAACTTTCAGAATCTAATTTTGAAAACGCCTGATGAGATGTATT